CCCCCCCCACCCCCACACACACACACACACAAAGAAAGAAAGAAAAGAACCCACCCACCCAAAGGGGAAAAAACAGCTTTTTCTCTCATTGAGAAGTTAGTTATTTGGTTGAATCACTTTGAATTCCAAGTTAGAAATATACTCTTATCCTTTCTTCTCTTGAGCAGTGTTACCGCCGTCTAGGTGAATCAACTTCTCCACATGGACGTAACTTCAAACAGAAACCCGTATTTAAACCAGGATGGCTTGTTATCAGATAGCAAAGACCTTCTATGTCGTCCATATCTTCATACAGTCGTTTGGCTTGGAGCATTTTCTCTTTTGCTCTCATTTAAGAGCGATTGAACACTCCACTCTGCAACTTCGAAGGAGAGAACACCTTGGAGGGTCCGTGTTTTCAGAATGATCAGGAAATCTCTCCTTTAACAGGTTAATTTTCCTTTTAGAGATTTTCATCCTCTGTAATACTATACGATATCGCTTCAAGGTATATACAGCAATAATTCTATTGCATGTATTTTCATTCGTTTTACTGTAAAGTTAGCATGCAACAGCAGTTAGGAGAAATTAGTTTACAGCTACCGGGCCCCAGATATGGGGAATAAGTTACAGAGAACAGTGTGTTAAGACATTTACTATAAGTACAATTTAATCAGCAGAATACTTTTGAGTAATAATTTCTGTGTTATAAAGCATTGAAATGGTAAAGCTGGTTCTGTTCAGATTGACCTTTGCTTTCCATGGCTTATTCAATATTTGTTTTTAACACAATTCTGAGAGAAAAATGTCATATTACTTCTTCGAGTTGATAAAATATGAACTGATCGTTTAAACGAGCATTTGTATTGGCATCCTGTTTGGCCTTCTGCGCATTTGCTTAGGGTTATGTATATTATTATATTATTCGTTGAGAAAATTTGATACAGGAACATGCAAACTGGCAGCCGTTTCTGAAACTTTCCATTTAGGGGCTGTTTGTTTACTAAAAAAAATAGCGAAATGGAGCTTTTGAAATCTGACAACAGGGCCACGTAATTTTTTGATTTCTACCCATTTCCATTTCCAGCGTTTTTTGTTGAGTGATTTAAAGAAATGGAGGTGTGAAATGTGCTGTCACGTCAGAATTTGTAGAAAACCCATTTCAGACCTAAATTGAGTGAAATGCGTGAGAAATACATTTAATGAGTAATAAAATATTGTCTCTCTCACCTTTTTGAGACCCGAAGTGACTAAAGTGATTGAAATTAGTCAGATTTCTTGATTTTTGGATGTTGAAACAAACCCAAGAAATGAAAAACAATGCTTTTCAGCCTATGATTTCATGATGAAACAAACTAAATAAATCAAAAATGAGAAACCCTTTGAAATGTTTTGAAATGGTTTTCATCATGGTTTTGTGTTTTCTTTCTTTTTTAATAATGGAAATGTACCAAGCAGGCCCTTAATGAACAAAGAGAGTAATGGATACTAAACCTCTTTATTACAGCTAAGAGCGACGATGAAGAGTTCACATTGAAGCATAATCAATCATTGCAAAGTGAAATTTCTGTTATCTTTGGACATTTGACAGAATTCTGATCTTCCAAAAATCGGTAGCCAATAAGCTTGGAAGGTTTACAGATATGCAGTAGACTTAATTTGGGGAGAAGGTAATCATCACCTTAGAGACACAATTGAGCAGAAACAGTGCCAAACTACTTTACTTTCTTTTTCTAGGGTCCTAAACGCCAAATGCCATAAAAAGAGCGCTTCTCTTTTGGGACTTTAGGCTCTGTTTGGTTTGAGGTAAATTGAGAGAAAGGAAAAGAAAATTAAAAGGAGAACTATGTTTCAATGTTTGGTTAGAAGGAAAGATAAAAGGAAACTGAAAGCCAAATTACTTGAAGAAAATGTGCTTTTAAAATTTTTATTTTTATTTTCTTTCCTGGAATGTAAGGGAATGGACAAAATATTTTGTCAGGGCCGAGTATAGCTTTCTTCATGAGTCCAGAATGCGCTGAATGTAAGTTATTATTACGGGGCCCCACCGGTATGATTATAATGTGTCCCTGGACCAACATGCTATTTATAGTTGCACATAAAGAGTGATGTTTCTACACTAGACCCTTTAAATTTTCTTATATCAAATTTAGACCTCAAATCATTTAACTTGTTTTAATGTACCCCAACTTTTAAGCTATTTCAAAATTAGTCCTTAAAATCATTGAAGTCACCATTAGGTCTCAATTCTCATAAGTTGTATAAAAAGATTGCCTCCAATTGTTATTGTTGTCGTTGCTGAACTAATCTGAAACAAGTTAATGACAATTGGTGAAGTTAATACAACTTAAATGATTTGAGGACTAAATTTTGAAATAACTTAAGGGGACTTCGTAGTAGTCTCAATAATTTTAGGGACTTATTTTAGAATCTTAGTGGTTATTGTTGAATGTTTTTGTTTAAACTGACTTTTTACTGTTTGTATTGATAGAAAATTGTTAGCAAGTCACTTGGTTTATTCTTTTTCTCAGCGTGATTTCTAGCGGTTTAAAATTTTCAGTGTGATGTGCTTGTATTTATTTTCACTTATATGGATTCAGTATACTATTCTCAACGATTTAAATTTGTAGCAATATATATTACTTTCTCCTATATAGTTTTTTTTGTTGAAGGCATTCTGCAAGACTCTTTTTTCCCTATACAAAAAAAAAAAGAAACAAAACAAAAACTAAAAACGAAAAACCAAAGAAGCAAAAACAAAAACTCTTGTACCTTTCAAAAGAAAAAGCCTTTATAGGATCCACATATTGTCCTCATTAAGTCATTATAATTAATTTAAAATTAAAAATATTTATAAAATTAATAAATTGATGGGAACTATTGTATAATATAAACCAACTGTATTATCTATATCATTTTTTTAACAATCAAACATAAACTGGTTGTTGATTATTTTCCTTTCAAATTCTTCTTCTAATTTTCCATCCTAACCAAACATAAAAAAGTAATCCATTTCTATTTCTGTTTCTTTCCCTTTCTTTTCCTTTTCTTTTTCTTTCATTTCCCCTCAATCCAAACACAGCCAAGATTTATGGAAGATTTGTGGGGAGAAAAAAAAAGGCTTCAGACTCTACTTACCCTCAGAACCATTCATTTTGTCCTTTCAGATTTCCTAAACTAAAACTATTTTTACTTTCATTTTACCCTCTAAGATTCTGTTTGGCAAAGAGTTAAGAAAGCGAGATTAAGGAGAAGAATTAACATAGCTAGCTCATTTGATAATCCGAAAGACTAAATTATTAACGTGTTAAATAAATTTTATTTTAGTCATTGTAATCATTTTTATTGTTTTGAAATAATATGGGTTTTGACTATTTTCTTTATAAATAGAGGGGTAACTCTTAATTCTTTTAAATACGAGTATTAATAACCCTCTCATTCTGAGGGGTTAACTCGTTTTAATCTCTCTAAAAGGTTAGCTTAACCCTTTTGTATTTCTTGCGTTTGACAAATTATAGAGGGTTAACTTACTTTAACCGTTGTGTATATTTTTTGTGTTTGACGGGTTAAAAAGAGGTTAAGTCTCCTTTAACCCCTCACTTAACCCGGGTTACCGAAGGGGACATAGAACTACTAAATTTGTCTCTTTTCACCCCTTGAGCTATTTTTCAGACCCATTTTACCCCCCTGAACCATAACGTCAGTGTCGTCTTAGCTCATGACATATCACTTGATTCATTGAAAATACTCACAAATTAATAAAAGAAAAGTGGAGTGGGACAAAAGATAGTTTAGTTTAGGAAGCAAATAGAGACAAGTTTAATGGTTTAGAGGGTAATTAGGAGTAAGAACAAAAAAAGGAGAAGAAGGGGTCCCCATCCAGGCGCACGAGGGCCGCGGACACGCCTCTATCCGAACGCGCAGCAATGCGGAAAATGCGGTGAGCAAGCTAATGTTGGAATGTGGAAGTGGGGTTGTGGGGGCAATGAGAGATGGGAAGTCCACTCGCCGCCAAAAAAACAGAAGGAAAGCATGTGATTGATGTGTGTTTGAAAGAAAGACTGGGGCTCTCTCGGTGGAAAACGAAACCGGAGGAAAGGGACAATCACGATAAGCATAGGGTTTATAGTGCAATTTTGTCTGTGTATTAGAGCTGGATTCATGTAGGACAGCCTCTATCCCTAGCTCCATCTGCAGGAAAAAGAAAGATGAAATGACGCAGCAGAGAAGTAAAATTCCGGAATCCATCAAGGGCATTTCACAAATGAAGGAGAATTCAAAAAAAAAAAAAAGTAGTTTGAAGGAATAGAAAACATGTGTTTAACTTTTAGTCAAAATATGACTAAAAGTACATACATATATCAAAATGAATATGGGTTTAGAAAAAAAAAAGTACATACATATATCAAAATATGACTTGCATAATCAATAATTAGAGCATCGGATGGGGGATCACATTAAGCTCACATTTCACTTTAAGAGACGACGACTATAATTGAGCCGCATATTGATATAAGCAAGCGCTAAAGACCCTATCGAAGAGCTTTGCTACAGGGACCCAAAATATGAGACTAACATGGGGAACATGTGAGGTGTCCCCCTCATTATGCAATAGGAGGGGGACACCTCACATGTCCCCCCTATTGGTCCCATATTTTAGGTCCATGGAGAATTTTTTCCCCTACCGAAATATGCATCATTCAATTGTTTTTGGATGCTATGGTTCTTTTCCATAAATTAAAAAAAGAAAGAAAAAAGGGGGAAAAAAAGAATTGAAGTCAAAATAACTCCAGCCCAACATTCATTTCATTAAGATTTTTTTTTCTCCTCATGTTATGATGTGATGTAATAGCTATGTATTGATATTTTTATCATGCACGAATCTGCCATAGAGCGAAAGCCAAGATGGGGAGGGCTTAACAAAATCCATTCTTTGCCAACTCATAATATTGTGCTGGGGCATGACTCATTAGCTTCGACAATATATGCTTAAGCAATAAGGAAACGGATCATCGGCACAAAGAAGAGAGGTATGTTGCTGAATTCTCGTACAAGCTAGGCATAATAACGTATCAAGTGAGAAATTTTGGCACCAAGGCTGAAGGGGGTTCCCGTATGTATTGAATGAGAAAATAGTCTCACATTAACAAAAGTAGCAAATGTCTTAACAACCCTATCACTAGGGCAATTGTTAGAGCCTAAGAATCAAATGTTTAGTACTAAATGAACTATCGAAATAAACTTCTGCGAATATTTGGAAGAATAATAACCGAGCAGTTTATTAATTATTCGGTTCACTTCCACCACTATACTTCATATCTAAAACAGAATACTTTATTTTCGTAACATGTTTAATATTTACAGAAAATTTTCTAGAAACCGTGCTTTGCGCGGGTCTAAATGCTAGTATATTGAATGAGAAAACAGTCTCACATTAACAAAAATAGCAAATGTCGTAACAACCCTATCACTAGGGCAATTGTTAGAGCCTAAGAATCAAATGTTGGGCTCAAGGATGTCCTTTGACCTAGCTGATTCTGCTCCTATGTGGCATAACAATCCACACAAAATCATTCGATAAGATTTATTGCTGAACATAACCACTATTAAAGACCACTCCCCAAGGAGCGAATGCCACCTCAACATTCCATTCTGACACCACGAAAGTCATGTCATGACGTTTAGATACCCTCCCGCCTAAGGACACTCTCTCTACGAAAGGCGAAGTTTTTCGATCTCTTTTAGCTCTATGAGTAAAACACAACTCTAGGTAATCTCAAGCTCTCTGGTATATCCAGAGCCTCCTGACAGAGAATAAGATCTATGATAATCATATTTTTATTATATTTTTTATCTTAATTATCTATTTTGTTTAAATAAAAATATCACTAATAAACTTGTTTTATCTTAATTTATAGGTTAATGAAGAATTAATGAACAAAAGCTCAAAAAGAACTCAAATTTCCTTATTTTTTAACCGTTTGTTGAAACCCGGGTTCAAGCAAAGCAATCTACAGAAGCCGAAGAAACAAGGATCAAATACGAAAAGAAATCAAGTGGAAATCATGTTCAATATGTTAACCGCAAAGAAACGGCGATATCTCTCAATCCGGAAGGCAGACTTTAACATATAATATATGAAAATCGTCTATCTCAACGAGACAGAGCTAACTGTATTTTTAGAATTTTTGAATTCTAATTGGTCAGCTAACTGATTGGCCAATTGGTCGGCCAACCAATTGGTCAACAGATTGGCCGACCAATTGATCCGTAACAAACTTGTTTTATGGCTAAGATTTGATTCTTAGAGCCCAAGTAAAATCCAATGGTTCTCATTTATTACTGCATGCTATAAATAGGGGTATAGGGTGAGAGGTTTGAGTGTGGAAAATTTTGTAAAAACTCCTTTTGGAGAGGATGATTACTTTTAATTAAGAAGACCTTCTAAAATTATAACTTTTTATTACAATTAATAAAAAAATTCATCTCTTCATATTTTTCTTTTCTTCTCTTTGTTTGATCATGAAGATAAAGATGGGATCAAGATGAAGATCAAGATGAAGATTTGTCTTCATCAAGAGGCTAGAACCCTCTTAAAATGTATATTTTCTCTTTTATCTTTTGTTTTTCTTGTAATCTTTTCTTTTCTTGCTTTAGATATTCAAGGGGCTAGAACTTTCTTGAATTAGATTTATTTTGATACTTGGTAGTAGAGTAGATTTACTTTCAATGTCTTTATTTTCTTGCATTTATTTTATAGTATAGATTTATATTTTTGCATAGTTTAGATTTTCTTTATTGTTCTTTTGTGTTTGCTCATAGTTTAGATCTTTACTTGCTTGTTCTTATTTTTTTCTTTTTGTAATTAGTTTATTTTCCTTCCTTCATACTCTTTAATTTTTATTTTACTTTTATTTTCTAAGATGTTAAACTAAATTCTTGTAGGAGATGATCTCTTTTATAATTTGTGGATTATTCTCTTTTGTTTAAAATGATCATATTTAGGATACTCAATTAGATAACTAATTGGTAGAAGAAGAATTAGATAATCAATACTTGCCTTGAGTTGTAAGATATGTTATTCTAATGAATTCTAGAATTTCTATCTAGTTGTTATTCTTTTCATGAATATTAATTTTACTTGGATGATAATAGGATATGTTATGTTTGCCTTAAGTGGTAGGATATTCTATACTTAATAAATCTAAAGTAAAATGTGATAAAAAGAGAATAGTTCATAAGTTTATAAGTGACATTGACTAGTGGATTCAATTCTAGATTCCTCAAATCTATAATTGATTCCTCCATCTTTAATTTTTTGAATTTTCTCTTTGTTCTTGATTTTTCTTTATTTGCTTCTGGGTTTTATTCCCTTTTCTTCATCTTTCTTTCTCCATTCTCAATCTCGTTTTGTTTTCATTTGTATGTAATCACATCCACTCTCTTTCTCTCTCCACAACATGTTAGGTTGGGGTGGATACCAACCTCCGCTGACGGAGGAGCTCCGACGAGCTCCAGGATGTTGCAGGCGAGCGTGGACGTCGACTCAGCGAATTCGACGACAAACGCGACCCTCGTTTGGGTCGAACGCGACCCTCGATGGAGAACGCGACCCTCGGCATTTTGGCAACGCGACCCTCACGTTCAAGCTCCGACCCTCGCATCCACGATGCCGACCCTCGCGTCCAGCTCCGACGCTCGCGTCCAGACGATGCCGACCTCAGCGTCTGGCGCTCCCACATCCGCGTCCGAGCAACCGCTGGCGACAGGCTGTCGCCAGCCTGTCAACGATTCGCCTATAAAAGCAAACCCCAATGCCTAGGGTTTAGTTGCTTTTTCCTTTCGTTTTTTCTCTGGCGGCGGACCATCGATGGAGAACGCGACCCTCGGCGTTTTGGCAACGCGACCCTCGCGTTCAAGCTCCGACCCTCGCGTCCAGACGATGCCGACCTCAGCGTCTGGCGCTCCCACATCCGCGTCCGAGCAACCGCTGGCGACAGGCTGTCGCCAGCCTGTCAACGATTCGCCTATAAAAGCAAACCCTAATCCTTAGGGTTTTGTTGCTTTTTCCCCTTTCGTTTTTCTCTGGCGGCGGATCTTTCTAACGCAGCAGCGTTCCCTTAAAATCGCAGCAGCGATTTTCTTAATTAATCCCAGCTTTCAACAGTAGTTGAGGGGAGATTTAAGAAGAGAGAGAAAAGAGAAGAGGATATTTATTGTGGGTATTAACACTGTAGCTACAGTGTTCATTTGAGAAATCTCAGTTTAGAGATTTGCTCTTGATTTGTAATTTCTTGTTAGATTAAATAAGAAATTGACTGTGTGGCTCCCGAGGACGTAGGCAGTTGCCGAACCTCGTTAAAACTTGGTGTACTGTTCTCTATTCTGCGTTTCTGTTGCATTAGGGATTTCGGCGTTAAATTCCCAACACAACACACACTTTCATCACGCTTAATTGTCACACATACAACTTAAGAATTACTTTTGATTAATTTCTACAAACACCTTCCTCATGGGATTCGACATTTTTTCTATACTATAACTTAATATATAGTTGTGCGCTTGTAATTTTTTGTTATCATTTTTACCCTATCAATCTAGCTAGCACATGGTTTAGCAGGTTGCCATGTTGTAATCTTCAATAGAAAGAACAATTACTAACTAAAAGCTAGAAAAAGAAATTGAAAGCATTTATTCATAAAATAATAAAACATATTAATAGAATTTAGACTCTTAACTACTCTCTTTTTTTTTCACTCCAAAGCGCCTAACTATTATAGTTTGGTCCTTGCAGCTATAATCCTTTGACCTGAATAGCTAAGAGGGGATTTAACAGGGAACCAGCCCCATCCATTTGATGTGCTAGCTCATCCACACGGTCAACACAGCCAACGAAGATGGATTGCTGACTCTCTCTCTCTCTCTCTCTCTCTCTCTCTAAACACCTCTCGTTCTCTACCTCAACAAGCCTAAGACCATCCATCTTAGCCATCATCCACGTCATCGGAGTTCTGTTGTTCGAATCTTGTCACGTTAGAGTACCCAGAGTCCAATGGCAACCCCCCCTTTTGCTGCCGAGTAGCTAAGTCGGAATTCTTGAAGGAAATCGACTACACGCACTAATTTAGAGCCTCCCCCGCAACATATCACGAGTGCAAATGTCCATCTTCACCCGACTTCCGACTTTGTTGACTATCAACTATTGTATCCACGGTTACCCCTGGCGTCCAAAGCCAAACGGCCACATTTTTTACCTTCTCCTAAATGGCTACAACTTCTTTCCTTGTTTGGAAGCAAATATATTTGTTAAGTTGTTGGAAATAATTGATAGAAAAATTAGAAGAAAAAAAAAAACCAATTAGAAATAGGATAGCCTCGAAAGGGTTGGTTGGTATATATCTATAAAGTTTGATCGGTATATTTATAAATGATACAGAACATGATTCAAAATAGATTTTGATTAGTCAAAGAGTGATTACAGATCAAAAAGAGTAACTATTGAACAAAGAGGAGGAATTATATTCTGTTTCCTCTCTTTTCTTTTTCTTTTTTACCTTTGAGTGATCAATGATCATACTTCTGAAGTTGATAGGATTCAATATATATATGTTGTTGTTTTTTTAAAACCCTTTAAGAAATCCAAAGAGGCAAACACTTCTTATCATTTTCTCATAAGATTATTGACATTTCATGGTAATAAACAAGATTCATGGAAGTGAAATTAAGAGATGAGAGAACAAGCCACAAGATTTCATCTTCCTTTAACAACATGTATCAAATTCTTCATAAATCCTTGTGTGTTACTAAAAAATGTAATTTTTTTTGTACAAAACTAACAAAAACGAAAGCAAAAAAGTTTTCCACTTCATGTATCAAATCATAATGACCTCTTCAACCCTCTAAAATCCACAGCATCAACACAATCAAACTTCTCCTTTGATCCATTCATAAGCTTCAACAGCTCAGTTGCCTTCACCTTAACTCCCCCACTGCATCCAACTTGCAACAAAAGCAGCACTTTCTGAAATGCCCCTACTTGTATTGCCTCAGCCAAAACCCCCCTCTCTTCTCCTCTGATATCCTTACATAGCTTCCATAATGCCGATACTACAAACTCGGTTGCCAAATCCGATACTCGAAACATCTTCTTCACGAGCACGGGCACGGTCAGCGCGTGCCCGTACGCCTCCTCCCGCCCTATCTCGGTGCCACAGATTGCATCGATCACCGCCAATGCCTTTTCGCACATCCCCTTGTCTGAGTCTACGAGGATCTCGAGAACCTGATGAACGAACCCCGACTCTGCGAACTTTATCGCGGTTTTCTCATTTGAAGATATCAAGATGAACGATGCTGCCAAAGATGTCTTAGTAGCTCTTGGCGAAATTGGTTTGCGAATGAGCTCGATCAGGGATCCGATTAGCTCATCCGATTCATTCGCGACCCTGACGATGTCTTTGCTGGTCGAGAGAATTTCTCTAAGTAGAGAAACTGCATTGAGTCTTACAGCTGGATATCCGTTCTTTAATATGAAAGCAATGGCTTTTAGGCTCCCCCGTGAGCCAAAATATCGGCAAGCCTCTTGATCTAGCGGCGAAAAGCACGATATTATCGACAAAATCTCCTCTTGAACTCCGTTAAAAGAGCTACAGCGTGCAAATTCAGCAGCTAGAACACGAGCAGCGCCCGCCGATACAAAACATCTCCGATTCCTCTCGCTCTCCTTCGCCAAACGCCCAATCTTCGCGACCATTTCACGAACCTTAACGTGATTTCTCGATGAAGAAACCTCCGATAAGATCTCCGTCGCCTGCAACGGACTGATAGGAATCTTAGGCGTCGGGATCCTCTCTACGCCATTGGATCTGTTCTTGACGCACCAATCCTGTATCAATCTCCTCAGGGCGTGGTTTGGGATCGCATCGGCGGCGGCCAGTTCTTGATTTGTCACCGGGCACGTGCAGTTGCCCGTGTCGAACCACGTCTCGATACTCTGGCGATCGTAGGTGATGCCCGTCGACACGGTGACAGGATCCTTCATTAGGTCCAAAGATATCGGGCATCTGAAGTGGTTTGGGATCGAAACCTCTAAAATTTGAGACTTGGGTTTGTTTGATTTTCTAGTTCTTCTTATAAAAGCCATAGATTGATTGGATTCGAGAATTGAGAGAAGCTTGAGAGATGAAGATTTTTGTTTGTGGAGTTCAATGAACTAGAGGTTTGCGTTTTTATATAAGACAGAATATGGAGAGGGTTTGAATTTGTGAAGGGGAATTTGACGGTTGACCGTTGAAAGTTTGAATGTGAAACCCGCGGAGATGAAACGGTAGTAGGCTTCTAGGGGGTTTTTTGTAAATAAGAAAAGTCGGATAAAAGAATTCGGCGCGTTATTAGACAGTTTGACTGGGTTGACGAGAGCTGGGTCAATGAGTCGGTGGACCGGATCCTCGATAAAGTAATTGGGAAGTAGGTTTGGTTGGTCATTTTCTGATTTTGGGCCGGGTTAGGTTTTGGTTATTAAAATTGGTAACCGGTGAGACTCTGCAGTACATTAACCCGGATAAATTTTGCAAAACCACCTGAAATTTTGGGTGAGATGCAAAAATTCTTTACGAAACATTCTTAACTTCGGGGAATTCCACAAAGGATAAATGGTATCATATTATTTCATGACCTTTACACTTAAACACTCGAAGTTGTAAAACATAGCACGTTAATACTCTAAGTTGTACGTTGTAAAACGTAGGCCTGTCCAAGCGACCCGGGCCGAGCCGCCGGCCCGGCCTGAGCAAAACCGAGGCCCGAACCCGGACCCGATTGGCTTTGGCCTGGAACCGGGCCTGAGCAGGCCGGACACCGGGTCGGGTCGGTTTTTTATTTTTTTATTTTCAAGGATACGTAGCAAAAAAATAAACAAAAGTTTGATAAACAATCATATTATTAATCACTTGTAATTATATAATTTAAAAGTACAAAAAATCATAGAAATTAAAATGATAAAAATAACTTTTTTATTATTAATCAGTTAATCATATAAAAAATCATAATTTAACAATTAACTAAAAATCTCCACATATGAAAAAACCATAATTTAACAGTTAACTAAAAGTCTCTACATATGAAAATAACCGGACATGCTCGGTCATTTTCATTTTTTTGGTAGGGACATACAATTTGCTCTTGATTTGTAATTTCTTGTTAGATTAAATAAGAAATTGACTGTGTGGCTCCCGAGGACGTAGGAAGTTGCCGAACCTCGTTAAAACTTGGTGTACTGTTCTCTATTCTGTGTTTCTGTTGCATTAGGGATTTCGGCGTTAAATTCCCAACAACTGGTATCAGAGCCTGAAACGATCTAGAGGAAGTCAGATTCAAGTGGGAGCCATGGCCGCATATGAGGGAAAGGTGAGAATAGAGAAGTTTGATGGATCAGATTTCGGATTCTGGAAAATACAGATAGAGGATTATCTGTATCAGAAAAATCTGTATCAACCTCTCTCGGGGAAGAAGCCGGAGGGTATGAAGGAAGAAGATTGGAATCTTCTGGACAGAAAAGCCCTCAGGGTTATTCGTTTGACGTTAACCCGCAATGTTGCTTTTAACATTGCAAAGGAGAAGACCACGGCAGATCTTATGGCAGCACTCTCAAATATGTATGAGAAGCCATCAGCCTCAAATAAAGTCCATTTGATGAGGCGGTTGTTCAATCTGCGAATGGCGGAAGGTGCATCGGTAGCACATCATCTCAATGAACTCAATACAGTCACGACCCAATTGAGTTCAGTTGATATTGAGTTTGATGAGGAAGTTCGAGTGTTGATCCTTTTGTCTTTCCTACCAGAGAGTTGGAATGCTACAGTCACAGCTGTGAGTAGCTCGTCGAGAAGCAATAAGTTGAAGTTTGATGACGTTCATGATCTGGTTCTCAATGAGGAGATCCGACGGAGAGAGTCGGAGTGAGTAGCTCGTCGGGAAAGAAAAAGTTGAAGTTTGACGACGTTCGTGATCTGGTTCTCAGTGAGGAGATCCAACGGAGAGAGTCGGGTGAAGCTACAACCTCTTCAGTATTGCATACAGAGTCAAGAGGTAAAAGTTCAACCAGAGGAAATGGATCAGATGATAGGAGATCCAAATCCAGAAATCCCAACAGTTCGAAGGCTATCGAGTGTTGGAAGTGCGGGAAAACCGGGCACTACAAGAATCAGTGCAGGAGTGCACGGGAGGAGTGGGAGGCAAATGCAGATGTGAATGTTGCCTCCACCTCAGGAGGAGATGATGCGCTGATATGCTCTTTGGAGAGCAAGGAGGAGTCTTGGGTGTTGGACTCGGGAGCATCATTCCATGCTACTTCTCAGAAAGAATTCCTCGAGAAGTATATCCCCGGAAACCTTGGAAATGTATATCTTGGTGACGATCAAGCATGTGCCATTATTGGCAAAGGTGTAGTGAAGATTAAGCTGAATGGGTCAGTATGGGAGCTGAAGGATGTCAGGTATATTCCCGACCTGAAGAGGAACTTAATCTCAGTAAGCCAGCTGGCTAGTGAAGGCTACACGATGACTTTCCATGGCGATGACTGGAGGATTTCGAAGGGCGCAATGACGATTGCCAGAGACAGGAAGACTAGTACACTGTATATGACAGCAGGTGCACGTTGTTCGATCTCAGTTGCGGCAGGCAATGAGACATCAAAGCTGTGGCACCAGAGACTCGGTCATATGAGTGAAAAGGGGATGAAGGTTATGCACACAAAGAGAAAACTCCCAGGTTTACAATCAGTAGAGATTGATGTGTGTGAAGAATGCATACTTGGAAAGCAGAAGAGAGTTAGCTTTCAGGCAAGTAGCAGACCCCCCAGGAAGCAGAAGCTAGAGCTTGTTCACTCAGATGTTTGGGGACCAACAACCACCGCGTCGATTGGTGGGAAACACTACTTCGTGACTTTTATTGATGATCACTCTCGGAAAGTATGGGTCTACTTTCTGAAGAAAAAGTCAGAAGTGTTTGAGGCTTTCAGAAGATGGAAAGCCATGGTCGAGAATGAGACCGGTTTGAGGGTAAAGAAACTCAGAACAGACAATGGTGGTGAGTATGAAGACACCAGATTCAAGAAGTTCTGCTATGAGCACGGTATCAGAATGGAGAGGACCGTGCCCGGCACGCCTCAGCACAATGGTGTGGCTGAGCGCATGAATAGAACGTTGACAGAGAGAGCCAGAAGCATTCGGATGCAGTCAGGTCTACCGAAGCAGTTCTGGGCAGAAGCAGTCAACACAGCAGCTTACTTGATCAACCGAGGTCCATCGGTTCCATTGGAGCACAGAATACCAGAAGAGGTATGGTGCGGAAAGGAGGTAACCCTCTCACATCTCAAAGTTTTCGGTTGTGTAGCTTATGTGCATATAAGTGATCAAGGCAGGAATGAGCCTGATCCCAAGTCCAAGAAATGCACATTCATCGGGTATGGTGAAGACGAGTTCGGCTACCGCATTTGGGACAACGAAAACAAGAAGGTGATCAGGTGCAGAGATGTGACATTCAACGAGAAGGTGATGTACAAGGACATGCACAAGACAGATGACGGTGACTCAGAGAGCGAGTCAACATTTGTAGATACAGATGATGTCCCAGATAACCTCTCGGAAGAACCCAATGCAGAAGGTCCTCAGCCAGAAGAGCCTGTTGGACAGAACGGTGCGCAGGAGCCCGACGCACCAGCTCCGATATTGAGGAGAACTACTCGTCCTCCTGTGCCTAACAGCAGATACATGAATTATATGTTGCTGACAAATGGAGGAGAGTCTGAAAGCTTTGATGAAGCTTGTCAGAGTGGAGATGCGAGCAAGTGGGAGTTTGCTGCGAAAGAAGAGAAGAAATCTCTGATCTCCAACCAGACATGGGGACTAGCTGAGTTGCCCATGGGGAAGAAGGCACGTCACAACAAGTGGGTGTATCGAGTGAAGAAGGAACAGGGTGGTTCCAGAAGATACAGAGCCCGACGAGTTGTCAAAGGATTTCAACAGAATATCCAAGGAAGAAAGGATCCAGCGGATATGTTGACAAAGGCAGCGACCTTTCAGAAACTGAAGTTGTGTGCAACTTCAGTTGGCCTTCATGCATAGATGATGAGGGCGGAGCCACACAGGAGAGGAGCTTGATGAGATAGTCTGTTGGCGTCGGTTTGGTCTCCAAGTGGGAGATTGTTAGGTTGAAGATGGATACCAACCTCCAACGGCGGAGGAGCTCCGACGAGCTCCAGGAAGACGCAGACGAACTCGAGCAGTTGAGCTCGATTGGCGAACGCGATGGTGGCTTTGGGCGAACGCGACCCTCGGCAGTACATTAACCCGGATAAATTTTGCAAAACCACCTGAAATTTTGGGTGAGATGCAAAAATTCTTTACGAAACATTCTTAACTTCGGGGAATTCCACAAAGGATAAATGGTATCATATTATTTCATGACCTTTACACTTAAACACTCGAAGTTGTAAAACATAGCACGTTAATACTCTAAGTTGTACGTTGTAAAACGTAGGCCTGTCCAAGCGACCCGGGCCGAGCCGCCGGCCCGGCCTGAGCAAAACCGAGGCCCGAACCCGGACCCGATTGGCTTTGGCCTGGAACCGGGCCTGAGCAGGCCGGACACCGGGTCGGGTCGGTTTTTTATTTTTTTATTTTCAAGGATACGTAGCAAAAAAATAAACAAAAGTTTGATAAACAATCATATTATTAATCACTTGTAATTATATAATTTAAAAGTACAAAAAATCATAGAAATTAAAATGATAAAAATAACTTTTTTATTATTAATCAGTTAATCATATAAAAAATCATAATTTAACAATTAACTAAAAATCTCCACATATGAAAAAACCATAATTTAACAGTTTCTCTCTCTATATATATATATATATATATATATATATATATATATATATATATCATGCTAAGAGTATATATATAGCTATATATTATATTATATATACATATATTATATGTAAATATATTGTACATACTTATAAATTATAACATGAGAGAGAGAACCACATAAATATATATTTTTATTTATAAATACATATTATATAGTTATATATGTATTTGTTACATACTTACATTATGTTTATTTAAATACAGTTATACAGTTTACTTATATGATATACTTATATTATATATACATATATTATAT